CGCCCTTTGCCAGCCGTCATCGACCACCGCTGACCGCTGTTAACCACCACTTACTGGTTGTCGCCGATTGCTATCGACCACAGCTCGTTTGTTGCAACAAGTTCATCTGCACATTGACATTGTAATTCAAAAAACTTTGTAACCCTCCCATAACCCTCCCATACTTATGGGACAAGGAATCTTTGTAATCAACTTATAGTGAATGTTTACAACTGGGCTAGACCCCGGGATTTTTTTCATTTCTCGGTTTCCACATGAAAACTTTTGATATTTCTATTGGTTGTTTTCTTTTATGTGAGTATGTACCGAACTCTCATGCAACGCTAAGATAATACTATATTACTCTATCATCACGAATCTTCTAGCACGCACCAACTATTAATGATAGTGATACAATTTTTATAATTTAAAATAAATTATTTATGTCAGTATTGATCCTTCATCCTGCATTTTTTTGTTTGTTGTGTCTTCGTTCATAGCAACTTAAGATGCGAGTATTGTTGCCGTTACAAACATCTTATTACAATTAGTACATTTGAGCATTTTTAGCGGACAATTTGGCACTTTGATTGGCTCTCATTTTTTTTATCCAACGACTTCATAACATTCAATCAAATTGACAATGAGATCACCTTCTTCATAAATTGAATGCTTCGGATGCAACAACATATTCATTTTGCAACACATGCTCTTGAGCCATTCTAGACTTAATTTGCATAATGCCACACTTGTATGCATTTGTCTTAACACCTACATATCAGCCAAATCTTTATCATTACATAAATATACCATTTTTCTTAAAATCAATTAAACCTTTTTTAAATTTATAACACCCAAGATATTCTGAAGAGAAATATCAAATTTTGTAGGTTAGATATGTACATACATAAAGAGCATGTTGCTTAAATTTCTTTTCATAGAAGACCCATCTAAGATATTCTAAAGAGAAATATCAAATTTTGTAGGTTAGATATGTAAATACATAAAAGAGCATGTGATGTAAACTTTCCAAGAATATTTTACTTTGCAAAAATTTAATAAGATGTTGCTTAAATTTCTTTTCATAGAAGACCCATCTTCCATTAAAGATCTTATTGGCACAGTGCTATTGTCATTTCCTCAACATGAAATCTTGTTTGTTATTAAAATATGCTTGTAAGAGATTATTATTGTTAATAAGGAATATAAACCTTATTAATTAAGTTTTTTAATCAGCAATATAAACCTTATTACGGGAGCTCCTAAACTTCAATTTCCAGAAAAAATCAATACAATTTTGATCAATTTTTAGTTTTAACCAAAGTTATAGAAATATATTTATATGCAAATTCATACATCCAAACATATGGAGAATCTCCAGCAGTTCAATCCAACATAAATTCAACCAATTTAAGTTCCATTTGAGCAAGACTTTACTCATTGACTGCAGATTCAATCGTTTTTTTAGCAGTCTTCAATTATTTGCAGACAATTTAGTTTGTTTCCAGTCATTGTGCTACAATTAAAGAGGGGAAAACATCTAAAAAGGTAGAATACAAGTAGGGCATTTGGCTTGCATACATCAAGAATCAGTAAATTCCATCATTTATACACAAGCACATTTACAACTACCTTTGAATCTGCTTCAATCTCTATTTAAGAAATTATGAACAGCCTGCTCTTATTGAAAGACTGACACCAGCTCATAAAGTCTCAATTTTCTCCAGAAGCATAATTCCACAAGCTTCTAACATTTGCAATGCTGCAACAGACAGGAATAAAATAATGATCATTTTTTTTTTTGGAATTATTTTTTGCTTAGTAAAACATATTAATAATGTCGAAGGGCTTCAAATCGTCGACAAAAACTTACCGGGCACATAAACCTCAGGTTCAGTTGGTCTGATCAAACCTTTGGTTTGAATCTTGTTCTGGAGCAAAAGCTGGAAAATAATGAGTAAAATAATTAGTCAGAATGACTGCTTAGTCCCCATAGTAATAAAATTATGTCCAGATATGGAGAGTTTTACCAGAGCTCCAATGGCTGCTGGAACACCAACCGTGCGGGCCATTTCTCTGGGTGGTTTTTTCTTTGAATAAAAAAGGAAGACTCTATTAATGAGGTTTAAGCGAGATTTTGTCTAGATCGTCGGAGTCGGAGAAAGCAAGGTGCTAGAGGATAGTGAGAAACTCAGAATAAATGATCTTCTAACGGAAGAGGATTCCCCGGTATCAGACTCTACTAGAACATCATCCGATGAAGCTACATCGGTTACCAAAGCATCTTCTGACTGAGCAGCAGAAAGTGATTCGAAAACAGAACCCGATTCCGTGGCAACACCCGATGGAGTCCATTTTTTGCCTTGGCCGACTTTCATTCAAATGGTGAGTCCAGCCATTCTTCTAGCAGAAGCACACCTTATAGAATTATAGAAAGGATAAAAGTCCTAAAGGAAAGACCCATACCGTCTTCCTCTGATCAAAAGGGAGCCCTTTATTGAACTTCAACCGTGGGAACACACTCTTACTCGAAAGAAGGAAAGTCAATACAGGTGCCGCTTCTTTAATCGTAAAGTGCTTCCCTTGATCGGGTTGACGAGCTTACCCTGGGTTATACTAGAATAGCCAGATTGGCGAACTAAAGAAGAGTCATAATAAGCCAAGAAGGGGAAATGAAACCTCTGAGATCTTCTTCGAATCCGGATCCAGATATGGAACATCTCAAAAAAGATCTCTCTGAACATATCTAGCGCCTTCTTAATCTCAAACTCAAAATGAGTTTTCAAAAGAGTGTTCATTAGTTGACAGCTATTTAGTAGTAACCATTTGGATTTCTTCTTATGTATTAAGTCTTAATAGCTAGAAGGAATCTGACTGTAAGCTAGTAGTCCAACTACTGTACCCTGAGAATACTAGCAGTAAGTAGTATGTTTTTCCAGATGTTCAGAGAATTCTCCCATAGAATTAGACAGATCGCCTCGAAGCTGACTGAGGCAATGACCAGAGAGAGTAGATCTGGCTTCCGGCTATGAGGATGGCGAAACCCATTATCATCCTGACATAACAGACTCTAGAATTTCAAAATGTGTTTGAGATCAATATGAGAATGAAAGCCTGTCAGCGGTTAAGTCAGCGAGACCATAAGCCCCTTTATAGATAGGGGCGGTCAGAGGCACTGTCAACCTTAACCGGCACACGCACCTGCATAATCAACTGATCCCGAAACTTCCCTCAGGTTAAACAACCGAATCTCCTAGCTCCACAAATGGGTAGTATGAACAAGTCGGGAAATCTATTGGCTGTTGTAGTAACTGGTTGGTGTAGGAGCATACGCATAAGAAAAAAGCCAATTTTTCCGTATTTTCAGGTAAAAGACCAAGCCAATCGAATCAAAGAAGTCAATAACTCACTCAATAAGAGGATCTTCTTAAAGAGGTAGAGTAACGGGAACTGACCAATGACGAGAGCTTAACGAAGGACTCATTTCCATAGCGGGAGCGTACGCGAGGAGCTAATCACGAGGGTGGTATCGATATCATCATTTTCGTCTAGATATGGTTCATTTGGCAAAGTCACTAAATCTTCAATTACATACACAGAACAAAAAAAGTCTGGTTTGGTATATCCTTGTCCCGCCCCTTTGCAACCCATGATAACTATCACGAAATATTCCAAGGCTCTGCAAAGAGGTTCCACTCCACGGAAGCCCTTCCTTATGTCGGTGAAACCAACAGATTAGCAGACTCAGCGCCCATGAGGCACTGAAATTGTTTGATTCTCAGAGGCTCTTAAAAGCCCTATTATGCCTTCTTTGAAACTTGCTTAGCTTGACTGGTGGTATTTTGGAGAGGGTTTTCGAGATCCGGTGGCGGAGGTGAGTGTTGTCCTCTAAGCTAACTCCCTGATTCCTTCTGTTGTGCCTGCCGATTCGATTACTCCTGAAAAGTGGCATCGGCTTCTGACTTTGAAAATTGGAAGCGGACAAGTGAGTAGTTTAATATCAGACAGGTGGCTAGCCGACATGCCCAAAAGGACTCAGCTGAAAGATTAAAGAGGACCATAGGCCGCAGAAAATAACTATACGCCAGCTCGAGTGCAAGCTAAAGTTCCAGTTGTTCCGACTATCGGCTACCTCTCTGACTACCGGAAGTAGAAGGGCATACTCTAAGCTGACTTGACATGGCGAGTGCTTATTCAAAAAGCGATTCTCACCCTAGGGTTAGGTATCATAATAGAGTCAAGTAGGACAGAACGATTAGCTTAGCAGTGAACAAGAATCATTCAATCAGCTCCAGAGCTGGGAGTTCTTTTGCTATTTCAAATAGGAGGTCTTATGAAGAAGAAATGAACTGAGATAGAGATAGAGGCAAGGCAGAATAAGCGATGTTGGAGGCAGGGCTCCTAGAAGAGAAGCTCATACCCAAAGGGAAATGATCCTTAGGTCAGAAAGGCCCCTCTCTTCACTAAGCTAAGCCGGAAAGAGAGAGAGAGTGAGATCCGAGCATAGCCATAGATGTGGAACTCTTTCGAAAGAGGTAGGAATTCTTCGCTAAAAAAAGAGGACAGGTGCGCAGCGGTTCGTAATCGTAGCAAGTGACATCTTCAATCAAGAAAGACCTGGCTCAAGGGAAGAGAGTTCCTTCACTTCCGGGCTGAAAGAAGCGAGTGACTCTCGCGGGTATCTATCAACATATAGAGATGTCGCCCCTGTCGCTGCACTTGGAGGCCTTATCACTGTTGGTGCTTTTCATAGCGTAGTAGAGTAGCCAAGGGCGTAAGCTAAATTCTAAACATGGAAAAACCTCCTTTGCCCACGTGGTGGATAATCCTCAGGGGGAGACGACGGTTGTCTTCCATTCAAGTTATAATGAGCATCGTGATGGTACAGGTGGCCGTCTCTTTATTAAAAATGCAAGCAGAAAATAAAGAAAAACAACACTTTTTTCTCCACGTCAGAAATTTCAACGCTGACCGACAAATACAAATTTGTTCTTATTGGAGAATTTCTGTGGGTACACCCACTTATGGAAATTATCAAAAAAAGTTTTTGATGACCTCAAACTAACAGGAAAGTGAAAAGTGGGGCTCATACATGGCAGACATGTATTGATTCAGTTAACCATACCTGAGGACTACACTCGGATTTTCTCCAGAAAATATATTAACATCACCGGTAAACCTATGAAGCTACTCAACTGGTCTCCTGATTTCAACCCAAATCATGAAACTCCCACTATACCGATATGGTTTAGTTTACCTGGTCTCAAGCTACATTTTTTTCACCATAAGGTTCTCTACTCTATTGGGGACATCTTTGGGGATGCTTTGAAGCTAGATCTGCCTACTTTCAACCTAACCAGACCCTCGGTGACCAAAATACTTGTGGAAAAAGATATTATTTTACCTGATGTTACTGAAGTCTGGCTGGGCACAACCTATAATGGTTATTGGCAATAAATTGTCATGGAGCACAGACCCCCATATTGTACCCACTATAAGATGTTTGGTCATGTTCTTGATAAATGACACAAGTTTCATCCAAATTTGAAATCTAAGGTTCAAGTGAAGAAAGATGGGTCTAACCCCATTGCTTTGGACATTTTAGTTCAACCTGGGTAGAATACTACCAGACAAGAGGTGTTTGTTGCCCCTAAGGACCCCCCCATGACACTGCTGTTACTGTTACTGCGAGTGATGTGATGCTGGCACCTTCAAACCCCATAGAAAATAATACTAATGGACTATTACCTACAGGAAATACTAATGGACTATTACCTACAAATGATAATGTTCAGACTGATAATCAGAAGAGCCTCGTAGCTCCACTTCTTCAAGAAGTATGCGGTGTAGAGGTAACTCATATTTCAAATATACTATAACCTATTGTGGATACTACGGTAGGTATTCCTTCTGCTTCACCTTTATCACCCCATCAGACTGATTCTTCAAATGAGAAATGACAAGTCTATTCCAGGAGGAAGAAGAAGAATGGAGACCAACTCTAGCTCGGGAACATATTAGATGATACATTAGTTACTACTGGCATCTTACCAACTTATCAACTTGCTCGTTCCCTAGAGCTAGAGGTAGAGGCAAGACCAAATTGGGTCTTTCTCTAGCCACCTGATTCTATGTATTTCGACATTTTTTGGCTTTTTATTTAACTATCTAATATATTTTTTCTATTTTTTTCTAGTTTTGGAACCATTTGTGATTTTCTGTGGGCAGAGTGTCATGCTTGAGCCCTCCCACACATTATATATGTATCTTTCCTTCTATTTAATATATTAGCCTTTTTGGGCTTTCAACCTTTATGATACATATATATATATATTAGAAAAAATCCGAGGGCAAATATATTAATACGGAAAAGATACAGAAATGTTGTATGAGAGAGCCTAAAAGAAAGTCCAACTCATACAATACAACACACACAAAACCCAGATAAAGCAAAGATACATAAAGGTAAAAAATGAAAAAAACCACAAAAGGGCACAAAAGTGCTAGGGACGTCTTACTTTAGTCCATCTGCCTCTAATTCTTGGAAGTGAGCTAGTTAAGAAATTCCTCAGCTCAAGTAAATCTTCATGTACTATTGCCCGTAGTAACCAAAGTATTATCCATCAGATTCCTGAGCTCCAGTACCAGTAGATCTTCATTCTTTAAATCAAAAAAGTTAATATAAATGGTATTTTTGAGTTGATATTAAGGATTTGGGAGTTATAAAAGAAAATATAAGTTTAGGTGCTTTTATATATATATATATATATATATATATATATTGTTATTGTTTTACTCAAAAAAGATTATA